CTTCTTCTTCTGTCTCTGTCATCTCTCTCTGTTCTGTTTCTTTATATTTCTCTGTCTTTACCTGTCTTCTCTCTCTCTGTCTCTGTCTCTCTGTCTCTCTGTCTCTCTGTCTCTCTGTCTCTCTGTCTCTCTTCTCTCTCTCTCTCTCTCTCTCTCTCACACACACACACACACACACACACACAGACAATTCCTGAGCAACAAATATAATAAAAGCAAAAGATTCAGAGCTCTACTTTCATACAGGCAGACAACTTCTAGTCTTTCTCTTTGGGAAAGTTGTTTCAGGCCCTAGATAGAAACTGAGCTCAGAAAAATTCTTATCTGCCAATTACAAATGAGAGGGAGTACTGAATGTTGAGTTGCTGAAGAGAATGTATTTCAAAGAATCAGAGGAAGAGCCAGGAATACCAGAGAAGAGAAAGACTCAGAAAAAGAGAGACAGGGGTAAGGTGAGGGACAGCTTGGAGGTGAAAGGCACACATACAGAAACACACAGAGAGACACAGGAGGTGGGGAGAGAAAGAAACAAAGAGACAGATATAATGAATGATGCTGTGAGAAGGGCAGAGACAGAGGGATATGACAAGGGGTGAAAGAAAGAAAGAGAAACAAATGCGTAGGAGAAAGACAAAGAAAAATGGGTGGGATGAAGGGAGAGAGAGAAAAGAGGGGAAAAGGGAGAGAGAAAAGAGGGAGGAAGAGAAAAGGGAGAGAGAGAAAAGAGGAAGAAGGGAAAGAAAAGAGAAAGAAGGGAGATAGGGAGAAAGAGAGAAGGGAGCTAGAGAGATAAAAGAGGAAGAAGGGAGAAAGAGATGGGACAGAGAGAAAAGAGGAAGAAGGGAGATAGGAAGAAAGAGAGAAGGGGGAGAGAGAAAAGAAAGGATGAAAGGAAAAAGGAGAGAGAGAAAAGAGGAAGAAGGGAGGGAGAGAGAGAGAGAGAGAGAGAGAGAGAGAGAGAGAGAGAGAGAGAGAGAGAGAGAGAGAGAAGGGAGAAAAAGGCCTGTTTATGGAACAGCCATAAAGTGAAATGAATTCTTTAACTTTTTTGCTCCACAGTCATCCTGACCCTGGGCCCCAGTCTCATTGGGGTATTTGAAGAGTTTGCTCTGCCTGGGGACCCCTGGACCATCTATAGCCTCTATTCCACCCCTATTTCTCACATTGGTATGGACCCCATAACTCTTTCTAGGGCCATTAGTCCATACTTCCTGCCTATGGCTGAGATCCTAATATATTTCAGTCCAAAAAAGTGTCTATCAGTGAAGCCCCAAACTCACTTCATATGGTTTTGTTGCTATCTAAACACAAGCAGATAAGGGATAGAAAATGAGGTAGGTTGGGGGGAGAAAGGGGAGAGAGAGAGAGAGAGAGAGAGAGAGAGAGAGAGAGAGAGAGAGAGAGAGAGAGAGAGAGAGAGAGAGAGAGAGAGAGGAGAGAGAAGAGAGAGAGAGAGGAGAAAGAGGAGGCAGGGGAGAGAGGAGAGCTAGAGAGTTAGGCACTGACAGAGAAGATAGGGGAACAGCCCAAATGAATTCATTTGGAGTAATAGATCATAGCACGTCGACCTGGAAGAGTCCTTGGCGACATCTTGACAGAGAGGACATTTGGGGAATGATAATCTGTTACAGTGAGCAGCACCTTAGATTTGGAGCAAAGAAGATCTGATTCAAGTCCCATCCCAATCAACTGAGCAAGTCACTTAATCTCTCAATTATATCTACAACACTAATATTACAGGCAAGAGTGACAACCCAAGAAAGCCAAAATCAGCATCTCTGACTCTACAAATCAGAGCTTGATTTATTGTTGGGTTGAGTCTAGATTTAAGAAATCGATGGGGAAAATTTGAATAATGCAGATTAAACTTAAAAGTGTGTCGTTAGAACCCCACCCTAGAGCTGGTTGTTAAACATGTACCAGGACACCCCTGCAAACAGTGGTGTTGTGAGACTCGAGATAATCTATGTAAAGCATTATATGTAAATACCAATGATTATTTGGGGAAATATTAGCCCAAAATGCTGACAAATTTTCTCACAGAAGCTCTGAGTAAGTCCTATTTAGATGTTATAACAATCGTGCCAATGTCAACATTCTTTTTTGAGAAATGAAATTTCTTAAGTTACCTGATTCTCCTTGCATATGTAGCAACACTGTTAGGTGGTACAGGGGCTAGAACTCTGGTCCTGAAGTCAGGAAGATCTGAGTTCAAATTCTGATTCAGACACTTACTAGCTGTGTGACCCTGAGCAAGTCACTGAACTTCTGTCTGCCTCAGTTTCCTCATCTATAAAATGGGGTTAAGAGCACCTAATTCCCAGGGTTGTTGTGAGACTCAACTGAGATAATATTTGTAAAGGACTAAGGACAATGCCTGGCACATAGTACGTTCTTAATAAATGCTTCTTCCCTTACCCCTCCCCACCCCTTTACATCACAGTACCTGGGAAAACGGGGGGGGGGGGGGGTGCGGCAGCAAGAAACAGTCATTTATTAAGTGCTTGTTATTCACAGAGCTCATCAGGAAACTTCTATAGGAAATATCTAAACTGGTATTGAGATTGAAATTACAGCTCTGAGACCCTGTGGTTCTGTGAAAATAACAATAACAGTAATGTTTTTATTCAGTTACAAAAAAGAAAAAGTAATTTTATCAATGTGAAGCAATAACCTGAAGAACATTGCATATCAAAGAATGAAATCAGGGTAGCAACCTGTCCGGGGACCATTTCTATCTGATCCTCAGAGATGAACAGACAGCAGGCCCTGGGGGCTTGAAGGAGGAGGGGGGAGGCATGTGTGGTGTGTGATCAAATCCTGCCTCTGACTCACACAGACTGTATGACACTGAGCAAATCACTTAATTCAGTGAACTAGCGTTGATGAAGCATTGTGAGCCAGCCACTGTGCTAAGTGCTGGGAATACAAATATTAAGTAGATAGCCCCTGTCCTCAAGGAGTTTACATTCCAACACAGGGAATATAACACCTCAAAGGAAACTAAAAAGTCCCCTTTGTAGGCACCCAATTTGAGTGCGTGGTAGAGGAAGTCCTGAGTGAAAGCTGAAGAGAAAAAAGAAAAGGCTAAACCTGGACACCCTCTTTAAATGGAGATTCTGGGACAATCAAAGCAGAGGAGGCCACAGGGATGGAGGGTACTTTCAGTGGGTGAATTACAGAGCTGAAATAAGGCTTCAGGATGAAAAGCTGGGGCAAGGTAGAGGAGGTCCCAAGTGCCCAGCCTGGAGAAGTTCTCAGCACCCACAGATAACTGCTCCACATCCAAGGCTCTTCACACCAATAAAATCGTAGGGTCAGAACCCTCCAAATGACAGAGACCCAAGACACACCCTCTGCAAAGATTCAGAGATTTTCTCTAAGATCCTAAGTTCTATGATATTATTACTGCTACTGTTACTACTGCTGCTGCTGCTGCCATTTCTGCTGCTATTACTACTGCTGCTGCCATTTCTGCTGCTATTACTACTGCTGCTGCTGCTGCTACTACACCAGGAAGCTCTGTCGAAATGTGAGCCATGAGTAGAAAAGGCTTACCGGCTATGTAAGGTCCTTGAGGGTAAGGACTATTTTTCCTTTTGTCATTGCATTCCCAGAGACTAACCTGGTTTTCCTTGCACATAGTAGGTACTTAATAAATGTATGTCGGTGGAATGGGATTCTTTTATTCTAAGTTCCTAAGATTTTGTGATTCTCTGAAAAATCACAGACTCAAAGCTGGAGGAACATTGGGGATTGTCTCATCTCTGCCTCCTTGAAGAGGAAGACTTCGGATGGAAGATGGATACTTCTCTATTTTTTCGGCAGGGCAACAGCCCCTTTCTCTTGGTTCCACAATGCAAGGCACAGAAAAATGGATTCCATTAAGTTAGCCACTTTCTAGGCTTGTGATAATGGATCTCCGTTTTCTTCTCAGTAAAATGAAGCAAATAATACTTTCTGGACTTGTATCTTTGGGGGATTGTGAGGAAAGCTTCTAGAAACAGCCTCGGAGCTGAAGTCAGGAAAACCTGAGTTCAAATTCGACCTCAGACATTTATTTAATTGTGTGATTGGGCAAACATTTAAGCTCTCTCAACCTCAGTTTCCTTATCGGCAAAATGAGGATAATAATGGTACAGGATTGTTGTGAAGATCAAATGAGCTAACACAAATAAAGCACTTTATTAAACTTAATTTATTAACTTTAAAGCACTGTATAAATGTTAGCTGCTGCAGCTGCTGCTGCTACACCACAAAGCCCTATCGAAATGTAAGCCATTAGAAATAATGACTGCAGCAGTAAGCCAGAGTCCTAACCTGAGGCCAACTGACAACTGCCCAGTTTTCTGCGCTGGGGAAGTAGGTGGAGAGAAAGATTCTTTGGCTCTTTTCCCAGTCCGTCCAGGGACCAAGAAGGGGCGCGGGGCCCAGGGGAAGGAAGAGTCTAGAGAAACACCCAAACTGTCAAAGCCCAGACTTTCGCCTCCGCGTCTGAATTTATCCAGGACTGACGCATAGGGGGAGCCATTGGCGCAGAGACCTAGGCCCGAGGAGAGGAGAGCTGGGCAGCTGTTGGATTCGTGTTTTAAACTTGCGTTGGGATTTCGTTCCGAGCAAACAGAACCTACTGCTCCAAGTTCTTTTCCGCGCCCAGAGAGAGTGGGAGGCTGGATCAACAGAATACGGGATACCTCTTCATTCTCGTTGATCACCTCATGTCCTCGGTGTTTCCTAGTCGTAGATTTAGGGGTCCAAGGGGCGTCAGAGGCCATCTGGTCCAACCCCTTCATTTTACAGACGAGGAAATGGAAGCCGAGAGGTTTAGTGACTTAACCTAGGTCACACAGGTTGCGAAAGTCGCAAATGCCAGCCAGTTCCTCTGAGCCAAACCCAAGACTTATAAACGTCTCAGAGGCAGATTTGAACACAGGTCTCCTTGACCGCTCCTGGCGGCGGACTGTAGACACTACCCATTAGGGAAATTGCGCGGGACTTCTCCCTTCCTTACGGTCTGCGATCCACCTACGCTGGACTGCTTGCTGCTCCTCACACACAACACTCCATCTCCCGACTCCGTGTCTTTGCAGTGGCATCCCTTGCCTGGGATGCTCACTATCTTCACCCCCACCTCCTCACTTCCCTGGCTTCCTTTAAGACTCAGTTAGAATCCCACTTTCTTGGGGTGGGTGGGGCTTTCCCGATGTCCTCTCCCACACCTTCCTCCCACTGTTACTTCCTACTGAGACTACCATCCAAACACTCAGTATTTTTCTTGTATGTACATCATTATGTGCATGCTATCTCTCTCCATTAGAATATGAGCTTCTTAAGGTTAGGGACCGTTCTTTGTGTTTTTGTTTTTTTAAGTTTGCCTTTTATTGCATTCTTAGAGCTTAGGACAGAGCCTGACACATGATAAGCGCTTAATGAATGCTTATTGACGGACTCTGCCTGAATTAGAGACAGGTAACTGTAGATCCAGATCCTGGTTTTGACAATTACTAGAAGTATGGTCCTGGACAAACTACTGTCCATCTGTTTACTCTTCTGTAAAATAGAAAGATGATAATGATTCGGCTATCTACCCCAGCAGATTGTTGTGAGGAAAACTCTGCGGGTGACCTTGGGTAAGTCACTTTCTTCCCTTTCCCCTCAGTGCCCCCTTCTCACCCCGAGGGATTTGGACTATGTCATCTAGAAGGTCCCTTCCAGCTTTAAAATTTAGTGATTCTATGAAAAGTTAAAGCGTTCTATGCATTTTATTATGAGATTTCTGCTAATCATTGCTGCTCCTCTCCCCACACACACTCTGTTTCTCCCCCTACCTCATCCCCGCAGCACGCGCGCGCGCGCGCGCGCACACACACACACACACACACACACACACACACACACACCCCTCCCTATCTCCCCTGGGGCTCCCCTTAGGGATCAAACAGGCTGGAGTCCTGTCCAAGCTGGGAAGCCTGGGGCCCGCTTTGTTATGCTAATCCACTCTGACATCACCCGGCCGATCAAAGCTGTCAGGGCTTCTTATAAGCAGGTTCGTAGGGACTCTTAGGAATCCGAGACCGCGAAAGGCCAGGGAGGTGACGAGTGGACGCGCAGTTTAGGGAGAACGGCGAAAAACCCTGTCTGGGAGGAGGCGCAGCCGTGGTGACCCGCACCCCTACTCCCACCCCTCTCCTCCTCCTGCTAGCTCGCCTTTGGTTTCTCGGGTTGGACAGAGCGGTAGTTCCTGATACCTGCACCAGAGCCTCCAGCAGCCCTCTTCCTTTTGCGCCCTGGAGATGTCTACACCATAGGCTCGGAGGAGCGGGCGGGGATAAAGAGACCTTTTGTCTCTGCCCTTGGAGGGGCGCTGCGGCAGAGGCGGGGGACAGCAGCCTTACTGTCGTGGGGCAGCACAGCCGCTGGCTAAGCCTGGGGAGAAAGGTAAGCAGGAGTACGGGACGGAGGTGGGGGCGCTTTAGAAGTTGCGTGAGCTCCGGGTCTAGGGTGCAGCCAGGTCCCTTAACCCCAGCCTTAACGAGGTGCAGATCTAATGCCTGGCCGGCGTTTGAAAGGGAAAGCAGGATTTACGTCTGCTATTTGTACTCCTTCACAGCCCCCTCCAGCCACTGTGTGGCTCTGGACCTCCTTCTCCCAGCCGCTGTAACGGCCCTCGCGGTCAATAGAAGGGGGAGACCCCAGGCTGTGGAAGGGGCGACAGGAGCAGGGAGGGGGGGGATCAGGCAACTTCAGCTCGACACCCCCCTCCACCCTGGTCCCCTCCCAGCACAATGGGCCTCAGGGCCGGAGAGATGAGCTCACGCCACAGCGATCCCGGGGGTGGGGGTGCGGTACTCGCCCGAAAACTGCCAGCGCTCAGTGAAAGGTGGGCAGAGTCCTGTCCTGGTGGCAAATTACGCTGTATCACCAGTCACCCTCCTCCCCACCACCACCCCATTCCCCTTTGAAAAGCTCCCCAACGCGAGCTAGGAGAAAGAGGGAACCAGCCACTCTTAGGGATGATACCAACCCATTGCTAAGACTTCAAAATAAGGGTCTGGAAGAAAAAGAGGGAAGACTAAGGAGGAGGAGGAGGGGGTTGGGAAGCGTGTGTTTAGAGACCTGATCTCTTCGCCTGGAGGAAGAGCCCGAAGCCTGAAAACGAAAGGAGATCCAATGAGGTCATAGAATTAGAAAAGGGGAAGCTCTTAGAACATAGATTAGAGGTGGGAGGAACCTCAGACTGAAATCGAGAGCTAAAAGGACCCTTAGAACGCAGAATATCAGAGCTGGAAGGAACCTAGAATCAGAGAAAGTCAGAGAGTGCAGCAAAAGTCCTTAGAACAGAGAATATTAGAGCTGGTTGGGACTTTAGCTCATAGAATTTAAGAACTGGTAAGGGACTTTAGATCCCAAAATGTCAGACCTTAGAACTGAGAAAGAGTTGGAAGGAATCTCAGCCCACTAAATATTAGAGCAGAAAAAGGATTGTAGAGATAGAGAATCTAGTTCCACTCAGGGTGGTGATGTAGAATTCGACTCTGGAGTCACAGAAGCCAGGCTCAAATCCTGCCTCTGCTACTTGCTATCTCTATGACCTTGGACAAGTTACTTTACCTCCCTAGGCCTTAATTTCCGGAGTTGAACTGCATGATCTTGAAGGTACCTTCTTAGCTTTGAGGCCAAGTCTTAGGATCCCTGATTTTACAGAGGAGCAAGCAGACACAGAGAGGAAAATGAGCTGGCCAAGGTCGTGCGCAGGAAGTTCGTTGCCGAACGCAGACTCCAAGCTGGGCTTTCCTGCAGGCCAGCTCAGGAGGCTTTCAGCCCACTCTCCCGTGGCCTCCCGCGCTAGTCTCTCTCCCTGTTCCACCTGGGAGGAGGCGCTGTGGGCTTTGCATGTGAAGCCACTGAAGGGCGCCGCTGGTCTAGCTTGCCCACAGGCACAGCCCTAGCCGGGCTGCGACGCTAGCTCTCTCCTCCCCAAAAGTGTCCCTGGAATGAGCGGGTCTGGAAGAGGAGCTGCCCAGAGCTCTCTCCACCTCCACCCTCCCCACAGGGACCTTGGTCTCTCTTCAAAGCACTGAGATCCCTCTGCCTTTTAACCCTTGGCACGGAACAACCCTTAATTAAAAAGAGACGGAACACCAAAACATCTCCAAATCTCGCACAGTAGCTTTTCTAGGTGGGCGACAGTTTCGGAGCCGCGGTAGGCAAGAGCAAAAGTTTCTAAGTTTGCACATGGTTCGGGGCTGGGAGTGGTGGGAGTTGCGCTCTTTTCGCCCCGCCGGAGGCCGGTCTTCTGAAGAGGCAGCTCCCTGGGCTGAGTGAGCCGTACTGTGCGCAAAGCGCTGGACTGAGGGCTGGGATAATGCAAGAGTATGTTGTTATGCTGGGGGCAGCGGCTTTTCCAGACCGCCATAGGAGGCAGTAGGGGAAAGGGGTCCCAGACGCCGCAGTCTTCCTCCCTGTCCCTTCGGCCTCCTCTGCACCTTCCCCTTCCCCCGTCATCTCCACCTTTCCCCTCTTCTGCCAGAATTCAGACACGCAGACCCTCGGAGCCGGGAGGGCCTTCAGAAATCATCTTGTGAAAGCCCAGCATTTCACAGAAGCGGAAATTGGGATGAGACTTGCCCAAGGTCACTCAGAGAGTCAGTGGCAGGGCTGCGACCGACTTGAGGTCTGCAGCCCAGAATGCCGCGCTGCCTCCCAGTAACTACCAGAGTTCACCTTTGGTTTGCTCCTCCTTGGCAGCAAAGGCTGTAGCTTCGCACAGGGGGAAAGGGGTAAGCGTGGGAGACAGAGGAAGAGATACGGGCAGGCGCCTGGGAGAAGGGCCAGAGTTAGTTTCGGAGGAGGAGGAGGAAGAGAAGAGGAGGAGAGAGGAGAGGAGGGAGGAATGGTAGGGTAGGCAAAAGAGTCGGTGCCGTCCTTCCCTCCCCCGCAGAGGCATGGGGTTAAAAACTGACATTCCCCTCCCCCCCATCTAAATCCCAGCGGGGCGAAAGTAGGTGACGGAGCTGGTTGTGCGTGTAAAGCGAAAGGCTAATTCGTTGGGAGAAGGCAGATAAGAGAAGCTCGGAAATAACTTTGCCAGCCTCCACCCCACCCCCGCCTTCATCCGCCTCAGGCAAAAGCCAAACCTTTCAAGTGCAGAGCTAGCTGAAGGATCTTGGCGGCCGATAAAAGGGACAGAAATAACCCGAAGCCTGGGGCACGCTCCGCGAGATCCCTGGGAACACCTCCACACCGAGAGGACAGAGGGAGCTGCCTGATGGCTACAAGAACACTGGACATATCCAGTAGCTTTGGGTTCGAATCCTCACTCGGCTAATTCCTATCTGTGACTGTGGCGAAGCCCCTTCCTTGCCCTCTCGGAGCCGAAGTTTCTTCCTCTGTAAAATGGGGGCAATGATCCCTGCCCTGCAGAACTCACAGAGCCTTTGTGAAATCCAAGGAGTCGGCGTGTGTAAAGTACTTCCAAAACAAAACCAAACCAAACCAAAAAACGCCCGATTATAAATTAATGCTATTGTGCTGTAATGGGGACCCCTCCCCTAACTTGGTTGGACCTGGAGGTGAAAGAGGCAGGAGTTAAAGCGGCGTCTTGGAAAAGAACATTGAATTTGGAGTCAGAAACCCAGGGTTCCAATCCTAGCTCTTTCACTGATTTAATAATCTTGGGCAAGTTACTTTTCTTCTCTACACTTCAGCGTCCTCTATCTGTCAAAATAAGGGCTTTAGACTGAGTGATTCCTCCAACCCTAAAATCCTATGATCTGGACAGGACTAAGACAAGGAGAATTCTAGTGGACACCTCCTAGACAGAGATTTCTCTTCTGGGGATAGACACTATTTAGTTGGAGGCAGATGTGGGGTAGTGGGCTCGGGAGCTAGGAGACCTGCATTCTAGTATTCCACGCTGCCCCTGCCTTACTGGGTGTCCTGGGAGAAAGACACTGTTCTCCTTCATTTTCCTTTTTTGTAAAAACAAACACAAACCAAAAAAAAAACCCCTAGGAGGTTGGACTAGATTTTGCCTTTAATATCTCTTCCGGCTCCTGTATTCTTTGTAGACCCCAGAAATGGGATTTCTGGTTCCTTCTCCAGAACCATGGACATCCTGGGCAGTATTGTTTTTGATCAGGGAATGGAAGATAGAGAACATCCTTAATAATTCTGCTTGGGTGGTTGAGGGTGGTGTGGTGGAGAGGACATTAAATCTCTAGTCAGAACAGTCACAACTCGTGTGCTCACATCTCAGCTCTGCTGCATAATTTGCTGTTTGACCTTGGTCATTTCTGAACTTTCGTTTCCAAATGAATACAATGAAGGGGTTGATTTAGATGGTCTCTCTTCCAATTCTGAATGTGCATGCTTAATCTCTCCTAATAATTCTATGTGTAGGAGATTCAGATAGGGGTGAAAGAAACTAGAACTCAGTCAATCAAAAAGCTTTTATTAAGTGCCTACTATGGGTCAGACACAATCCTGGGCGTTGGGGACACAGAGGCAGAAATAAAACAGTCCCCTACTCAGATTCTTTAAAACAAAAACCACTAATGCCGCCCCCCCCAAAAAAAACCGTCTTTAAACTCAAAGTCCTCCAGACCTGCCCGACCCTGCCCCCCAGGACAAAAGGCTCTTAGGTCTTGATTGACCTCGAGTTGCAGTTTCATCCCAGGTGTGGGTAAATTTGGAAGAGGCTGCCAGGCAGAGTTAATGAGGTGTGAAGGAAAGCATAGAGGGAGCCTGTATCTTCGGAGCAAGGGCACCGCCATTAGTCCACAGATGGATGCGCGTTTCATTTCTCCTCGAAAATTGGGGTGGGGGTGGGGGTAGAGAGAAGAGAGATTAGCTGAAGATTCGGCTTGAGCTGGGTGAGTTTGAGATTTGTTTCTTTGCTATTTCGTGTAGATTCCCCCGAGAGAGGAGGAGATGTGTGAATGTCAGTATACATACATACCGTGGTTCCTTTCTTCCCCTGACACGTGGATAGATGCTCCTAAAAGCGTCTTCCCCATCCTCTGTCCAGTGGACATAGCAGCAGCCTGTGGGGTAGATAGGATTTGGGATTATTGTCTCCATTTGATATTTGGGGAGCCTGAGTCTCAGAACTAGTGTGACCTTGAAAAAGTACCTTCCCCTCACTTAGTCTCAGTTTTCTCATTAATAAAATGTGGGAATTGGGCTAGATAATCTCTAGAGTCCTTTCCGGCTCTAACATCCCATGTTCTATAGCTCCTTTGAGCTCCAGCGTACTATTCTAAGAGCCTTCTCAGCTCTAAATCCTATGATCTCATGTTCATGTCATCGTGTGCCTAATAAGTGATGGAATGGAGGCTAGAGTGAGTCAGTAGGTTCCCTCCCTCAGTCTCCCATAGAATCATAGAGTCATAGAATTTCAGCACTAAAAGGAACTTTAGAGATCAGGTCTAGTCTCTTCATTTTATGGAAGAGGAAACAGACCTGTAGGACAATGTCTTACTCAAGAGCACACAGCAAGGTAATGTTAGAATTAGAACTGGAACCTAAGTCTTTGGATTTCTAATGTAGTAGTTTTCCGACGACACCACAGCTCCTTCTCTTGCCTCTTATTTCTCTGGCCTTCTTTCTTTTTTCTTTTTCTTCTGCTTTCCCTATCTCTCTTTCTCTCCCTGATCTCTGTCTTTTTCCTCTCTCTTTTCTTCTTCTTTCTCTTTCTTCCTCTCCTCTCCTCTTTCTCTCTTCCTTTTTCTCCTCCTCCTCCTCCTCCTCCTCCTTCTTCTTCTTCTTCTTCTTCTTCCTCTTCTTTCTTCTTCTTCTTCTTCCTCTTCTTCTTCTTCTTCTTCTTCTTCTTCTTCTCTCTCTCTCTCTCTCCTCTCTCTCTCTCTCTCTCTCTCTCTCTCTCTCTCTCTCTCTTTCCCTCTCCCTCCCCCTTTCCTCCTTCCCTTCCTCCTTCCCACATATACACATACTTAGACATACATACACATTCGTACATATAACGTTGTAAAAAACTGGATCGCTATGGAAGGTTCACCATATGGAGAGTTAAATAGAAACACGCAATCAGTCGTATAATGCAAGACATAATTCAACCCATACGTGCACTGTCTTTGTTGGCTATAAAGGTTCTATCAGAAGCAGGGGGTTGAGGGGGGAGAAGAGACACACACCCCGCCGAGCCCTCCCCGTTCTCAGTTCACAAGCCCCTCCTTTGCAATTTGAATAACACACCCCCCTAGCCCCAAGCCCCGTTTTTAACCACAGCTCCGATCTCTGCCTGGCTCTTAGGTTTTCTTGCGGACCAAAGACGAGCAGCCTGAGAGCGAGGTATCCGAGCCCGAGAGGAGTCCGTTTGGGGAAAGCCTTCCTCTCTCCCTCCAGGGAGGAGTGTTTGACCCTGGGAGTATTGGGGGCCGTGGAAAATGAAGGCGAAGGTGCAGTTTCTTTGGACGGTTTTCCTGTCTCTGGTTTTGCAGACCGGTCTTGGCTACGCGATTAAGTGGCTGTGAGTATTCTAAAGTTTCCAATGGCCTGCCGGGCTTGGACAAACAGCAGTGCTCGGGGGTCGGCTCGGGAGGAAATATTTAATACGGAGCTAAGGAGGACGTGCTTTACATATCGCTGCGACTGGGCAAGCCCATCACGCTTCATTTTACCCTGCCGCAAACTTCAGGCTTTTATTTATGTATTTAATTTTTTAAAAATTTATTAGAGGGGTGGGGTGGGAGTTTAAGGAATTATGAATCTATGTGTAGTGGAAATAGTACTGAAGGCAGAATCAGCAGACACCAGGTACTAATCCTAGCTTTTCTACTAACTAGTTGTGTGACCTTGGGCAAATCCTCTCTTTGGGCCTCAGTTTTCTGTATCTGTAAAAGGGGGTTAGACTATATGCTGTCTAAGGTCCCTCCATCTGTGACATACCATGTTCTACATTCTAAAGATCTTTCCAGGTGTGACAATCTGTTGTGCTGTGATTCTCTAACTTCAGTTTGGATCCTGGATCTGCCACTGATTTGCTGTGTGACCTTGGGAAAATTTCTTCCCCTCACTGGGCCTTAGCTTCTTCTTCTTCTGTAAAATGAGGACAATATAGTTTTTCCTTGCCTCCCTCTGAGGTCTCTTTCTAGGATCAAATGAAATAAAAACTGGGAAAGTGTAAACCACAAAATGCTATATAAATTTAAGTGCTGGTTATTTGGGGTCATTTCATCTTTGTTCCTCAGCAGTTAAGAAGGTTGAGATTCTAGTCCCAGGTCCACCCCTTAACCTTGGACAGAGGCAGTCAGTTGAGTTAGCTGGAAATACCCAGGACTGGGAATCACAGACCAAATTTGAGCCCAGCTACAGATTCATTTTTGTGGCCTCCAAGAAGCTGCTTTACCACTGAGCCTCAGTTTTCTCTTTTGTAAATTGCTATTAATAGCTTTCCCTGCCTCCCTCACAGGAATGTAATGAGGATACACTGAATTAGTAGATAGGAAAGTGCTCTGTAATCAGTAAAGCACTGCAGCCATATGGAGGATCAGTATTATTGTCTCAAGTTGGAACCGTGATCTCTCTTGAAACCGCTGCCGCTTTGGATGTTTCCAGGAATTAAGGTGGGTGGAAGAAAGAGAGGGGACCTCTGGAAGCACTTACAGGTAAACCACTGCCTTTGGGAGAGGGATAAGAGCGAGCTACAGGGAAGAGGTCAAAATCATAAAATGTCAGAACTGGAAGAGCTTCGAGGGACCTTACTTAGAACATAGAGTGTCAGAGCTTGGAGGAGACTTAGGACTTAGAATGTCAGAGCTAGAAAGGCCCTAGAACAGAGAAAGTTAGAACATGCAACATAGAACGTCAGGACTATCTAGGTCTTTGAGACTGAGTTCACCACACTAATTGTAGAGATAAGGAAACGTGGATTAGTGTCGTGGCTGCCTCCAAACAGTTGAAGAGGCAGGCATTCGTCTTACTGATCGCATTTTTGGCAAACAAAATGGCAAGTTCATGATCTCCTCCCAACTGGAAGTGAGTTATTGGTTAATTGATGCTTTATTAAAACCATCCATATATCCGAGCTTTTGTTGCCAAGTGGAAAAATGGTCTTTGTGGTCTGTCTGCCTTGCACACAGGAGGTAGTCGTTCTCTGTGTCACCTCTTTGTGACTCTAATGCACTACGAAAAAAAAAGTGAAATTATCATCATTGGCCAAGGGTGTGGCGTTCATCTGTTGCTGGGATCTAAATTGCAGAATGTTGGCCAGGGAAGAGGCCTTCAGATCTTCTCCTCAAGCTCCCTCACTTTGCAGAGGCCCGGGGAGGGGGAAGGATTTATCGAAGGCTGCACAGAGAATCCCTGGCAGAGTCTGGATCGGGAGATCCTGGGGAATTCCTCACTCATGGTGGATGGTAGAGGGGAGGGAAAAGAAGGGAAGGAGGAGGGTCTGCTAATGTGGCAAATATCTAGAAATACAGCTTTAGAACAGATCCAAAAGCACACTAGCATCTCCTCAACCATCTCCCACACCCTCAGCCCTTCCTTCTCTGAACCCCCTCCCCCCATTTATTTGGTTCAAAGTGTCTTGGCTTGTTCTTGTTTGATGGCTCTGTGATCTCATCCGTGTGGGCACTCCCCAACTGGTGAGATTTCCAACTCTTTCACATCTTATCCTGTGGCATTCTTCTCCACATCTTTCCATAAACCTTCCATAGAGAATATAGAGTCCCCTATATGATCATAGAATTTAGAACTGAAGGGGATTTCAGCCATCATATAGATCCAAGTTGCTTTACCAGGGGTCCTTACACTTTTGAAAAATAAATTTTTTGATAACCAAATCTCAATGTATTTCCTTCGTGTCCTATGTATTTTATACATTTAAAAATTGTTTTTTAAATATTTCAAATGATCATATTATCAATAAATCTAAATCAATTATTGAAATTTATTTAATGAAATTTAAGATTGTTAAATTAGAATTTTATTTTAAATGATTTAAGAAGTATTATGAGAAAAGGTCCATAGTCTTCACCAGACTGCTAAGGGGGTCCACAAAGGGTTAAGAACCTCTGCTTTAGCTGTAAACCCTCATTTGGCTAAGAATCTGTGGCCTTGAGACAGGATAGTGACTTGCCTGCCATCACTCAGGCTTCTTAAGTAGCAGAGCCTCGAACTTGCATGCCAAATCTGCTTTCTCTACCATGTCAGCTTTTTTCTTCCAAGCTTCTGTGGGGGTGCCCATGGACTTTTGTTGGTAGGGAGAATGTCTGTCTGGGAGTGGCTCAGTTCCTCCAGCTAGACATCATCCTGCCCCATGGTGCGGGTCTTTGTAGCCTTTGTCCCCTTCTCTGAACCCCAAGAGTTCCATCCACTGGGCAAGTTCCTCACGGAAGTGGAAAATGGTTCCACTGAGGGGAGCATGGAGACATTTTGAATTTTTCTGGCTTATGGCCAAAAAACTTCATCCTTAGTGGCCAACCATCATCCAATACTCTAGCCCCGAGTACTTGGCTTGGCTGGCCCTTTGACCAGAGGCACACCCTCCATCTCCTGGCCCATCCTGGTGGTCTGGCCAGCATGGCGAGGACTTAGCAGGGCTGGTGTTCCATTGGCACAGCCCAGCTCGCTTCTGTGCAGGAAAAGGATAGAGGAAAGAAGATGCCAATGATGGAATCATTGCTGTTATCATGATTATCTTTATTGAAAGGATCCTAGCACTGTGATAGTATAATCTGAAGGGCTATCATGTGGAAGAGAGATTGGATTTATTCTGCTTGGGCCCAGAATGAGGGGAAGTTACAGAGGCTCAGTAAAAATAAGGACTAAACTGTGGTTTTGATGTTATGTGGAACTCCTTCTGCCAATGCAGGCCAGCACATTCTCTGCACTTTTATAGAAAGTTGCAGAGTGGGGGGACGGGGGGAGTTAAGTGACTTGCCCAAGGTCACACATTACCCAGTATATGACAAAGACAGAATTAGAACCTGGCTCTGATGCCAGTTCTCTATCCACTACACCTGCTTGTAATTCAATAGCAAGAAAAAATTCCTAACAATGAGAAGTCTCAAAGTGGAATGGGCTGCCTTGAACTGCAATAAGCTAGGCTTGGACCACAATAAGCTAGCCATCACTCGGGGTCTTCTTACAGGGAGGCTGCATGACCATCTGTTGGAGGTGTCCTAGAGAGAATTCGCAGTAACATGCCTCTCAGGTTAGATGTGCGCTGAGGTTCTTTGCTCCTCCAGGACTCTGGGGTTCTTTGAACAGCCCTGAAAGGTAGGTAGGCTATGCCAGTGTCATTATCTCCATGTCATAGCTGAAGAAATGGAAGCTGAAAGAGATTCAGTAAAATCACCCAAGCTCAAACCCCCTGTAAACATCAGAGTTAATGTTGGTCTCCTGACTCCGAATCCAGGACTCATTCTACTGTACCAGCTGTTCTCAAAGTGAGGTGTGAGCCCCCAGGGATCCCCAGGACCCTTCAGGGGTTCCATGAGGTCAAAATGATTTTCATAATAATACCAAGATAAATTTATTTCTAATGTGGTGAAAATTTTTAACTATAACCCATATAAGCAAAAGCTCTTTGGGAGGAGGTTTCTCAATAATTTTCAAGAATGTAAAGAGGTCCTGACACCTATGATTCTGAGGACCACTGGACTTCAACAGGCTGACTCCTGTCTCACTAAGGAGCCTGAGGCTTTGTCTCCTGGAAAGGGAGTTATTGACATCAGCCAGCAGCAGGGAAGGGCTTGTTTTGGGTTTTGTTTGTTATTAGAGCACTGGATGGTCTCTTCCTACGGAAATTACTGGCTCCAGCTGTGGTGACCTTGAAGTTAGAAAACATAGATTCAAATCCCATAGTCCTGCTACCCAGGCACTATTTGATGTAGGATCATTTCACCCTCTCTCTCTCTCTCTCTCTCTCTCTCTCTCTCTCTCTCTCTCTCTCTCTCTCTCTTCTCTCTCCTCTCTCTCTCTCTCTTCTCTTCTCTTCTCTTCTCTCTCTCTCTCTTCTCTCTCTTTCCTCTTCTCTCTCTCCTCTCTCTCCTCTCTCTCTCTCTCTCTCTCTCTCTCTCTCTCTCTCTCTCTCTCTCTCTCTCTTCTCTCTCTCCTCTCTCCCACCTTCTCTCTCTTCTCTATCCTCCCTTCTGTCTCTTGTCTCTCCTCTCTGTCTCCTCTTTCTCCTCTCCTCTCTCTCTCCTCTTCTCTTCTCTTCTGTCTTTCTCTCCCTTTCCCCCTTTATCTCTCTCCTCTTTCCTCTTTTACCTCCCTCGTCTCTCTCCCCTTTTCTCTCCTTTCTTCTCTCTGTCCTCTATCTCCACACCCCCTTCTCTCTTAAATATACTTTATTTTAAACATTCATTTTAAATAATTTCTGCTCCAAATTCCTTCCTCCCTTCTAGCCGTTTCCCCACTCATCGAGAAGGAAAGCAATATGATCATTTCACCTAAGCCTCAGTTTCCTCCTCTGAAAAATGAGGAGGTTGCATCAAATTGAGAATTCTTAACCTAGGCTCC